GCACCGGGGTCCCTGTCCCTTCAAGGCTTCCAAAAAGCACTTGGCAAAAAGAGAGAAAAAAAAGGGGAAAAACGCGCGATTTCTTCCGTCCTCAGGTGCTGGTCTCAGGCACCCACCCACCGGTCCCACAGGGAAAAATGCGGGATATTCTTTGTCCTCAGGTGCCGGTCCCAGGCACCCGCTCACCAGTCCCGCCGCCCTGCCTCCCTAGCACCGGGGTCCCTGTCCCTTCAAGGCTTCCAAAAAGCACTTGGCAAAAAGAGAGAAAAAAAAGGGGAAAAACGCGCGATTTCTTCCGTCCTCAGGTGCTGGTCTCAGGCACCCACCCACCGGTCCCACAGGGAAAAATGCGGGATATTCTTTGTCCTCAGGTGCCGGTCCCAGGCACCCGCTCACCAGTCCCGCCGCCCTGCCTCCCTAGCACCGGGGTCCCTGTCCCTTTTAGGCTTCCAAAAAGCACTCGCAGAAAAGAGAAAAAAAAAAGGGGAAAAACGCGCGATTTCCTCTGTCCTCAAGTGCCGGTCTCAGGCACCCGCCCACCGGTCCCGCAGGGAAAAACGGGGGATATTCTTTGTCCTCAGGCGCCGGTCCCAGCCACCCGCTCACCAGTCCCGCCACCGTGCCTCCCTAGCACTGGGGTCCCCGTCCCTTCAAGGCTTCCAAAAAGCGCTCGCCAAAAAGAAAAAAAAAAAAAGGGGAAAAACGCGCGACCTCCTCCGTCCTCAGGCACCGGTCTCAGGCACCCGCCCCCAGGTCTCGCAGGGAGAAACGCGGGATATTCTTTGTCCTCCGGCGCCGTTCCCAGGCACCTCCTCACCGGTCCCGCCACCCTGCCTCCCCAGCAACGGGGGCCCGTCCCTCTAAGGCTTCCAAAAAGCGCTCGCCAAAAAAAAAAACTGCTCTGGTTTCTCTCCACCCGCCGGGAGCCGGGGGGAGGGGCGCTCGGGTCCCGCCGGGCCGGGGCTTGTATCTTACCCCCTTCGCAAGGCGCTGGGTTCTTGCAGGTGTGGATGTGGTCTGGATGTTATCCTGTGTCCTGTGGTCTCTATTTTAGGAAGATTTTTCTTTGTTATAGTTTCATAGCTCTATGTGTTTTTGGGAGGAGATTTCCACTGCTCTACTCACGCCGCCATCCTGGCTCCGCCCCCGGAAAATTAACATTTTTAAATGCTGTCTTCCAATACATAAATGTGGTATAGGTGTTCATTAATTTTTGTTTTTCAGTGTCTCTCAGGGATTTTGTATGTATCACACCTTCTTTTATACTTACTCCTAAGTTTTAAATATTTTTATATTATTATAAATTTTCTTTCAGTTTTATTTTCTGTTGTTATTTGTCATAGAAGTGCAATTTTAAAAACCTATACATAGACATTTGAATTAAATGAGTTTAATAAGGCTGTATTCAGCAGCCTTGTTAAACTCATTTAATTCTAATATCTGTCTGTAGGATCTTTGGAATTTCTTATACACAAAGTCACACCATACAATAAGCAGTTTTATTTCCTTCTTTAAATTCTTTTTCTGTCCTTACTATGCTGATTTAGGACCTTTCTCAGTATAAGGCAGACCAGACGTGGTGATAAGTCTCTCACTTCTCTTACTCCTGATCTCAGAAAGCAAGCTTTCAATATTTCTATGGTGTTTTCTGTTGGTGTTTTGTAGATATCCTTTGCTAAGTTAAGGAAATTGTCTTCTTAGTTGCCAAAAGATGTATTGTAATCATAAACAAATGTTGACTTTAATCAACTGCTTTTGTTAGGAAAGAGTATAAAACCTAAGTGTGATTTATTCCCACTAGGATGTTTCAACATTTTGACAGTAAGGTATTAACAAAGGGCCAGTGGTGGAAGCTGCTCAGGCTGAGTGGGGGTGGGGGAATTGATATGGGTCTGGCATACCTATTTGAGTTTTTTTAAACCTACCAATAAGGTTAAGACAAATGTTAAGGATAGATATAACAGGCTTAGGAGACATCTGGGAAAGAATGTGAACCCCGCAGTACTCAGCCAATGAGAAACCAGGGGAGGGACTTGGGCACTAGGAAATAAATTACTGGCACCAAACTTCCCAGGTGTGCCTACCCACCAAACACCTGATCTTGCAAGACTTATTAAAGCCTCACTCTTCTGTTCTCTTTGTCTCCATATCCACTTATTGAATTTGGACCAGTGACTGTGTTTCTCACACTTTTCTAGTATGATGATCATATGATTTTTTGCTTTATTCTTCTAGTGGAATAAATTCCACTGATTGATTTTCTAATTTTAAAGTAACAATGCGTAATTACAACAAACTCAACTAACTTACTGGTGATGTAATATTTATATGTGTTATTTGGTTAGCTGACATTAAGAATTTTGGTATATTTATTGACTCAGTTTGCCCAGAAATTTTTCCTCATAATTTCCTGTTTTTGTTTTGGTATCAAGGTTATAATGGGCCTCATAAATTAAGTTACAGAGTGTTTCCTGTTTTTCTATTTTCTATTTTCTGAAATGGCATAAATATATTTATTCCTTAAACATTGGCTAAAGTTAAGTAATGAAACTATCTGGACCTGGAGTGGAAGGTTTTAGTTAGAGAGTCAACATATTTCAGTTGTTAATAGATATTCACAATTTTTGTTTCCCCATGTCCAAATTTCACAGGCTATGTTTTTTTTCATCATTCTAAGTTTACACAAAAATAGTTAAAACATAAAGCATACATTTATTCTAAATATAATTTTTACCCAAATCTATAGTGGATGAAAGCTGTATTGAAGGATAGTTCCTTCTATTTCTTGGTTACTATGACTTTGCCTTATTAAAATGAACTGCTTTTTGACATAATTTTCAAAAACATAGTTGTGGTACTAAAAAGGAATGCATTTTGTCTGTTTTGAGTTAAAAATGAAAAGATGAATGCAGTGACATAACTAGTATACTTGCCATCTGAAAGGGACCATTTTTTGGCATTTCTTCCTCTATATAAGAAAAGTATTTTCAGTAATAATGAAGAAATTAAATAACAATTTTATCTCTAGAAAAGAAATGCAGTGACAATTTTCATTCATTAAATTTTGCACATATAGTAATGCTGGGAAAAATTAATAAAATGAAAAAAGTTAACGTTTAATGCTTTTTAAGTACATTAATATTTTTTTAAAGGAGAAAAATATTTATTGCTCTGCCATGGTGATGAATAATCCCATTGTGTTTCTTGGCTTTGAACCTTCATTTCTGCAAATTTGTCAATGGCTTTGTCAAATTGATGTTCCCACATTTATGGGCCAAGAAACAGTATACCCAGATCTGTCAATGTATCTACACTCATAGTTGGTTGAAGGACACCTCTTATTTAATTTCAAATATTTTAATTTGACATTTAAAATAATTTAATTTCAAAGTTCTTTCACATGAAGAAACAGATCTACAAACAGGACAACTGTAAAATAAAGATAAGTTTATCAGAGTTTCATAAAAATCCCATTTCACAGTAAATTTCCAGAAACTTCAATAATGCCATGTCTTTGTTCTTTGGGATCAGTTCTATCAGCTTTCATATGTTTCTGCAGCTGAAAATTTTCACTAAAACACCACCAGAAAATACAGCATAAATTTGTATTATGTCTGGTAAAAGTCTCAAAAGTTTGTAATGGTTGTGAATCATTTGAGCTCACTTTAAGCTCAGTTCATATCTCTAACCCCTGTGGCACTATGTAGGCCTGTGTTTAAATATAGATTCAAAATAAAAAATTATAGGACAGTGATTATGAAAATGAAAACACAGAACTTGGCTGTTTATTCTTGAAATAAACATTTTTAGCTGAGTTCACATACAGAAGAGTTAGAATTACTTCCATGTAGAATATAATGTTTATTACAGGAGAAGTAATTTTAAAATATAGTAATTTTCAGCTTATATATCATTAAATTTCAATTGCAACAGTTGTTTAGAACTGAGACCAACAAAAGATTTTTTCAGAAAGGAGGAACATCATTGTCAGAATTATATTCTCAGTGCACAGTGATAATAAAAAGCAGACTGGCTTTTGTTATTATTTTATTATTTTATGTTATTCCTTTTACATTTTCTATACACAAAGCACTTCCTTATTGCCTGTACCAGAGTTGGACTGATCCTACCATCCCATCCTTGGTGCACCACTGGCTGGATGAGAAAAATAATGAGAGAAGCTGAAAAGGAACATTGATTTCCTTTGAACCAGCAGGCCAAATAGTCTTCTGGAATCAAGAGATTCCAAGTAGTTATAAGAATAATGAAGTAACTTTTGATTTATTTCTGGAAATATTCATTAAAAATACAATTACATTCCCTCTTGCTCCTTCACTAGGCTGGTTTAAATCACTAAAATGTGCTTCATTTTTGCTTATCTGCCATCACTAGCAGTGCAGTAATATACTCTGATGTAATGGAGTGGAAACCCACTGCTATGCCAATATTACAAATTCTAGTAAGGCAAACAAACCTCTGAAGTACCATCTGAGGTATTTCCTGGCCTTATCTGACACTTTCAGCGCCCTATCACAACCTGAGGAGAGGTGAAATCATTCTGCTTAATATGTTGCACACCCTCCTGGGTCTGGAAAGGAAATAGCTGAGAAATTTAATTAAAGGCTCAGTGAATAATATGGAAACTCTCAACAAGCTGCAGCAAATGTTACATTTCTGGTTCATAGTTAAAAATATATATATATATGGTAAAATTCCAGTATCTTAACAATGTAGTATTGCATAAATTGTAGTAAGTAAAATAACTGAAAAAAAAACGACTTTAAATCTCTTCACAATCAGAGTTTAATTAAAATGCTACATGTTACATGTTTTCCATGATTTACTGACAAGTTTGGTTGGAAAAACTAAACTACATCCTTCTTAGTAGTCAAGAAATAAATAGAAGAAATTTCCCTTTAGTGTTTCCTGTTGGATTCTGTTGATGGCCTTTCCCTCCTGCTGCAGCAATTGAGGATGTTTGTGTTTTGACCCCTCCACAGGGAAGCAGGGAAGAATCTGAACTGCGATGACTTGCTGCCCTTCTGGCTTTGAAGTGCTGCTCTGGCCGCTGTTGGGCAACCTGAACTTGTACTGAAAGCAGCAAACGTGCCAATTAAGAGTTCTAATGTTTAGCAGTTGTCTCTGAGTTTACTTGTGTAAGAACAGAACTTCTGTAGTAACACAAATAATGATTTCAACTGCCCTCAATATTAACCGAATAAAATATACAGTAAGACATTTTGTAAAAAGTATGTAAAATGGCCACTAAGGTAGGAAACATACACCAATAATGAGCCCATCAGCAACACATAGAAATAGTTACTGGGAGCATTTTGGGCATGGGTACTAGGAGAATGCTTTGCAGTTCTGAATTCTAAATGAACTGCAATCCCAGTGATTTCTATCCACTGGACACCAGCTATTGTTCTTCCAGCAAATCATTTGCCCAAGGTTCTGACAAGAAAATTCATCCTCCTCCAACTTCATCTTTTCTGGAACCTCAACCTCATAAAAGACAGCTCTGATTAAGATACAGCCTCCCAAGGTCACATCTGGGAGCTCAAAACTTTTTTCTAACCCTGTCCTTTAACCTACCCTCCCTTCCATATTTATTTGCTCACCTTGTGGTAGATAAGAAGGAGACATTCATGAAACATTTAATTTTCTACTAGGAAATAATCCTGTAAAGTCTTTGAATCATAATAGATCATTCTTCATTATGTGCTGGGTAACTAAGTAACATAAAACAGAATCTGTTCTAGAGAAGGATGGAAATACCTTCCCATGACTGGTCTCTGTTCTTTCCTTTCCTTACTCGAGAACCCGCTAGTATCAGGGGAAAGCCATCCGTTTCTCCAGGAGCTCCAAGGCTAATGTATAAGGCCTGCATATTTGAAGAACACACAAATGATCCCCAACATCAGCATCAAGGCTACATTTAGGAAATGTGAAACATCATGACAACCCAACTGCCTGACTGTAATCATTCTAAAGAGTCTACTTAGGGTTATATTTTAATTTGGGCTTTCCATCTTTATGGACTATTCCACTGGAATGGATTTAGGAAAATATGTTATTCTCTCATCTCTCTAGTGATCTGTCTGCTTTACTTGCCCTTACACACTATTTCCCCCTTTTAAATGTAGATATATTTTACTTTTCTTTCTATCCTAATTCATGCTCTGTAGCTCAGCAGTAAGTTTTAGAGACACCCAGTATCTTTACATTTGACAAATGGAAAGAGAATGTTAACAGTTTTTCTTGGCCAAGCAAGAGAAAAGGAGTATGATTATAGTGAGTCAGGATTTGGCCTCTTCAGCATCAGCCAAAGGATGCCCAGGGTGCCCACAGCATGGAATGAAAGGGCTCCGGTAATCAGTGTTACATTGGCATCATTTAAATGTTATCAGCAAGTTCTTGAGGTAAACTGGCATGAATATCACAGTAATTGGGAAAAGATTCGTAACTCTTGGCACAAACAGCCCCTAAGATATTTCAAACATTAAGGTTTTCCTTCCAAAGAATAAGCTGAAGAAAACCCTTACCTCAGATTTTCCTTTCTTCTCTGTAGGCTCTTACTTCTCAGCCTTCCATCTTCTGTGTGCTCCTCCAGGATGCGGGCTGTCTCCTGGTTACTGTAGTGGTGGGCCAGGAAAGTATCTGAATGCATGTTGTAGGTCACACAGCAAATTAAAAATGGCTTTTGCATATAAAAAGGAGAAATTGTAAAACAGAGTAGTGGTCTTTAAGTGGAATGCAGAAAAAAATTACATAACATGCATCAGAGCATCACAGTGTGACATACAAAAGCTGTATAAACATCTTAACTTTGCAGGAGACTGTGTATTTACCCCAGATGCAACACAGGGCATCAGATTTTATGAAGAACTATGAAAGGTACAAGAAATTTGGGGAGGAAGGCAAGGTAGGGTTACAAACAGATTATTTTATATAATTTCTCTAACAAAACAAGGGAGAGAACCCATATTTTTACAGTGAAACCTGCCTCTTGAACTAGAGTTGATGGGACTTTGGAGATGACTTACTGCCGCAGCCCTTATCCAGTAGTACACATTACAGCTTGTGATGGACATCTTCAAAAACAGGCCTGGCCTCTACCCAGACCTGCTAAAACGATATCTGAAACTTTACAAAAATCAGACAACTAGGAGTCACACTCTTCCAGGTTTTCTTTTGTAGAAAATCCACCTCTTTCCAGTGACTTGAGGATTTGAGAGCTTTGGTGTTTGAAGGACTCTTCTGGTGTCACCAAACATGATCTTGGACTAGCAAACACCGGCCCTAGATTCTCAGGTGACTAGACCCCTGTATGAGGGTTGTTTCCCATCCTTGGTGGGCCAGTTAAACTCTGCTGCTTCCTACCACATATCACTGGTCTCCAATTGTCATGCAAAAGGGTCATGGGCAGTGACCCATAGCACAAATATGAAATGGGATTAATTAAGAGAATACTTAAAAGCAGACAAGTAGGAGAGTGCACCCAACCAACCACCTGTGCCTTCATCACTCAAGATTTAGGTCAGGACTATACAAACTCTCAGAAGGATGACACCTGGCCCCTGTAAGTCTCCACACACTGACAGGGATGGGGCGGGGGAGGGCAGTGAACATATGTGCAATGGAAGGACATAGTCAATTAGCAGCCTGAGGGAACTCGGGTTGACTGGGTTTCAAAATTGGCGGGGTAAAGGGGTGATAATGGGTCTCAAGGGCCACCCAGATTTGTCTACCATTGGTGTCTGACAAAGCCAGGCTCTTTTTGTACTTTATATTATATATCATTGCATGCAATCCTCAATCCTCACAACAATCTTGTGAAGATTCCAAACCTAAACAACCAGCACCCACCATGTTCTTCCATGTGTACCATGATTCCTCTGTCCTTTTGGCCCATGCAGACCTGAGACTGAAGGGTCAACTCAAACAGCTGTCTGGGGTGGAGTTGGAGTCACAACCTGAATTTGACACCCAAACTCATGTCCTTGCCATGAATCCAAACGACCAACTCCCAGCTATTACACTCATTCCCAGCTATTAAAGCAGAGTAGGCAAAATTAGGCAAAATATCTTGGTTTCCTGATCATGCCTGCTACTGCATGTACTCTGAAGTCAGGCTGAAAACTAAGGAAAATCTGACCACCTAAAATGACTAAATAAGATATAAATAAAGTCACATCAAAGTCATGGTGGAATTAATAGGAAAGGCCAGCAGCAGACATGGCTTTGGTAACTGTACCTCCTGTGTGTTAGCATAAAGAAAATCCCTTTGAAAGTTGGAGGTGAGGAGTGGGAGGGACATCTACTGACTGCTGAATTCATATACAGTATTTTTATATGTCATGTTTAAACTGAGATGTGAGTGGAATAGGATTTAGTTACATGGAAAGGTGGGGACTAAATATCAAATGCAAAGTCCTGTGAACAAGAGACAGAAGTACATTTTCTAAGAAGCTAAAAGTTCACCAACATGTCTGGAGAGGAAAAAGGTAAAGGGAAAGAATTAAAAAATTGAGGTTGTGAAAGTGAGTAGACACCAGACCATGCAGTCTCACAGGCCATGTTCAGTTTACTTTGTACATTCTAATGGCCATGAGAAAGCACTGGAGGATTCTAAATAACACTAGAATATTATGAGATTCACATTTTGTATTTCCATTCTCCCCTCCCTACTTTCTGTTACTGGCATTTACCCTAATAAATTTGTTGCATATTTAATCCTGAAATGGCATCTGCTTCTTAGAGCATAAACTCACATAATTTTTTAAAGTAAATGAGTGAATGAGTTAAGGTATCTGCACAGTACTTTAAAAAAAAAAAGGATGTTCAGTTTTACAGGTATATGTTAAATACATTCTTTACTGTAATTAGTTTTAGGATGAGTAAGTTACCTACCACATCAGCAAATAACAATCTTACTGGGATAGCTATTATTTCCAGTCATTCTGCTCCATGTTCCATTGCATTGCTGTGGCAAAGATTATCTCATGATTTGAAGGGATAATGTTTCACCAGAAAAGTACTTTTTAAAAATACTACTTATCTAGTAGAGTGTGGATCATTAACTAAGAGCTGTGAAAGAAGCAATTTCCTAATGTCCAATCCCGGGGGGGAGGGGGGGCTGGGATGTCCATCTATTGTTAGACACAGATATCTGAAAGGGAACAATAATTTTGAAATTATTAATTACTGTTTTAATAAAAATAATAGCATTTTCTATCAGAACATTCCTCATTACAGTTATTTTTCTTAATGGGATATTAGAGTCATAATTCTGTTTCTTTGCTGGTGCAAGATTATTGAATTCCTTGTGGACAAGACATAAAGTATATTTAATGTAATAGAATATATAGAATATATATTATTTATAATAATATATACATAATAGACTATTATTATCTTTTATAATATATAATATGCCATTATATATTTAATATTATTATTAGAGAATATATATTTAATACCTAAGACAAGTGGTTAAAGCACTGTATGGTTAAGCCATTTACTTTAAATCATATAGATCATTATTAGTTCATTATCAGCCTATTGTAAAGTCTCTAGTTATGAGTCAGAGGCCAATGTTTGTATCATTTAGGATTAATTGGTAAATTTTTTTTGGTATCATTAATCTACAATTACATGAGCAACATTATGTTCACTAGACTCCCCCCATCATCAAGTCCCCCCACATACCCCTTACAGGCACTGTCCATCAGTGTAGTAAGATGCTATAAAATCACTACTTGTCTTCTCTGTGTTGTAAAGCCCTCCCCATGCCCCCTCTCAACATTATGTCTGCTAATAGTAATTTCCCCCGCTTTCTTCCCCCTTATCACTCCCTTCCCATGCATTCTCCACAGTCCCTTTCCCTTTGGTAACTTTTAGTCCATTCTTGAGTTTGGTGAGTCTACTGCTGTTTTGTTCCTTCTGTTTTTTTCTTTGTTCTTATACTCCACAGGTGAGTTAAATCATTTGATACTTGTCTTTTTCTACCTGCCTTATTTCACTGAGTATAATACCCTTTAACTCCATCCATGTTGTTGCAAATGGTAGGATTTGTTTCTTCTTATAGCTGAATAATATTCCATTGTGTATATGTACCACATCTTTATCCATTAATCTACTGATGGACACTTAGGTTGCATCCATTTTGTGGCTATTGTAAATAATGCTGCGATAAAC